AGAAACCGGGTTTCGATACCTGTGGTAGGCAGAGCACAGATAACCCATTGTGTAACTTTGTGCATAAATTCAAACAAACAAACTAACTAAATTAAAAATGTTAAAAATATACAGATACTAAAAAAAAAAAAAACGAAAACTTTAAAATGAAGTGTGCATACATTTTACATTATTCTCGTACTTTCATTATATTTCAAGTTGTCTCTTTCAGTTTTCAGTTGTCCCTTCGGATTTCTCAAAACACTAAAAGCGAGAGATTTTATTGCCTCAGAACTGGCCTTCTGATCGAGCCATATGGATTTGATACGGTCGTGAAAGTGATGAGTTCACCTCACCCCCTCCTCAACAGGATCACAAAGTCGGGCTCCTTTGAAAGTCGATCGCTTGTACAAAAATATTAGCTTTCAGTTGTCGCTAGAACATAATAATTACGTTTGTACATGCACTGCACCTTGTTTCATTGAACTTGACAAGAGTACATTAGGGTACTTTACATGCATTTAAAAAAAAACGCTTTATGGGCTTTTATATTACTTCCATACAGAAAAGGGACATATGCTCAGCACTTAAGCTCAATTTCAGTTTACGTACGCATACTTCGAAGAAAGAAATTGGTATTTTACGAACGAAACAAAAGCGAATCTGAGAAAAAGGCTGAATACATATGGGATATCTTTATGTATTAAGCCTTCTGTTTTCTTTAAAATAATTGTTGCATTCTTTACTTTCTTCACTAATTCAAGAAGTTTTCCAAACAACCCTGGCGGACGGAGCACAGATAGCCCTTTGTGTAGCTACGCGCTTAACTACAAACAAATGGTTAGAAATTTTGTCCCGCCCTCTAGTTTATCAAATATATAACATAAATACTTTATACTATTATAAATTATTGCGTAGAAGTTACATTTGTCTCATTCGCCCATTCTGAAGAAAGACATTAATCACAAATTTTATAGAAACATTACACGAAAAAAAAGACGTCCATCGGGATTTTTGTGGGATGTAGTTACAAAATGTTATAAGAGAAATTACGATTAGGAAAAGTTAAAATAAGTCAAAGAAAAAAAAAGGGAATTTTCTAACAATCTGAAGTTCGTGATAGTGTATAAGTATTGAAAATGAAAACACAGTTCTTATAAATTTGCTAAAATATTTTATTTGCGAAGTATAAAAAAAATCCGAAGAATCTATAATATATTGTTACGTCTCCGTTCGTTCGTTAATTTTCCGTAAATTCGTTCCGACGAAACTTTAGCGACACAAGTCCTT